GAGAGAGAGAGAGAGAGAGAGAGAGAGAGAGAGAGAGAGAGAGAGAGAGAGAGAGAGAGAGAGAGAGAGAGAGAGAGAGAGAGAGAGAGAGAGAGAGAGATGGTTTAGCGCACATAATTTACATATGGTGAATCAGGAATGGATGTCACCAAGAGTACATAAACCAGAGTGTGCAACTCGGGATGGTTCCTGTGGGAGCGTAATTCGTGCACTACGTCATTTCTGACGGCATGGTAAGCCACAGGTACGGTGAAAAGTTGCGTAACCAGTCGCGGTGGTGCAGTTCACTGAGTTTGTACTGATTTCGGTTTTTTGAGACGGATAGCCTGGTGACTTACTTGTCGGTGGATGTACGCAGCGTACACAGTCACACAAAACACCGAAATCCTGAAACAGGACGTCTAAAATCAAGCAAACTTGGCTGATTTCCGGGCTATGAAACATGAAAATTTGAGCTGTACGCAAGTCGCGGCTTGGCTGATCTCATCAGGGTGACGTAGTGCACGAACTGCGCTGTTTCAGATCTGATATGCACAGTTGCACACTCTGGTTTATGTACTCTTGATGTCACGTAACATAGCTGTGTGTGCGTCTATATTTTCGGTGGATGTTGCATGTGCGCAGATGAACGCTACCTAGCCTGCCTCATGAACCAAAGGGAGATTATCGTAGTTGACATTCGATATCGTCAGACTGTCCACACCCTATGGTGAGATGTGTTCTATTCATCCTACTTTAGTTTGCTTCTACACACCACTGACCTGATTTGTTGCCCAAACAGTATTATGAAAAGAAGAAAAAAATGTACTGAAGTAACTCGGACAGTTAGACAGTTAGTGGACAGTTAGTCATAACTCGTAACATTTTGTCCTTCTTCTTTTCACGAAAAATAAAATAACAGGAATTACCTGCAATTGCATGTTACGTCGCGTGGGAGTCTCTGAATCACATTACAATGACTGTGTACCGGAGTGGGAAGTACTATCTGCCCCCCCCCCCCCCCCCCCGCTATGTCTCTGTTAAAGGATGAATGGGTCTAGGGAAGCCCACTGACGCTGACTTTCAATTTCTTTCGCTCTCAGTGCGGACGGTTTCAACACATCACGTCAATCATCACGTGTTGTCTTCAGTTGCGACGGTTCGTACATCGCCGCTGGTGGTCAGACATTATTCATATGGAGTGCAGACACAGGAAAACTCGTCAAAACACTTGACATGGAAAAGAGCAAGTAGGTGGCATAGTGTCGGTATTAGATTTGTTTTGCTGGAATACTCCTACAGTGTAGTGTACTTTTTTTTAATGATGATGCCTTCTCGATATCTCCATGACAAGTTGCATGTGTGTATGTGTATGTGTGTGTGTGTGTGTGGGGGGGGGGGCTATTTCTTTTAGATCCTTTGGGTTATGATCGACCAGCCATCATTCTGCAGTGGTATGCATCGGCTAAGCAGAACACAGATATGGTCATGGTGTCCGAAAGCAGCTGTACGAATGGCTGCTGGTAATTACTTTGTTTCTTGCTCAAGGATATTTCACCTCTTTTGAATGATACTGAGTGCCTGGTGTTCTCTTTTTCACGTGGACAAGTGATTGAAGAGGGGATGATTTCCTGATTATGAAGACACGGATTGCTAAGGTATGTGTACCGTTTGTTTGTATGTGCGTGTGTGTGTGCCCGTTTGTTTGTCTCTCCTTCTGCCTGTCCACTTGTATTGGTGCGTACCGGTTAGGTCTCCGATGTTCTCGTGTGCCTGGTACCCTAGCGGGTCAGCTTTCCTCACGGCACATCCAAGCGGTGCCACCACCTGGACATGTTAGGCACGTTGCTTCTTTTTTTTTTTACACGAATAGTTATTACGAAGCACATTGCTGCTTCTTGCCACTTTTTAATTTTGCTGGCGGGGCTGGTCCTTCTGCTTGCTTCTCTTTTTACTCATTTTAATTTTTTAAAGGTATACTCTGGGCTGGTTTTAGAGCAGTATTTCGATAGATGGCACTGCAAGTGATTCTATTTTTTAGGGCGTCTTGTTCATTTGGCTCTTTTTTAGAAACTCACCTTGATTCAGTTTGTAGGCCGCAATGCATGTGTATATCCATCGTCTTCTCTGCTTTCCTCTTTCGCTAATGTCATGTAGACATACCGCTGCTGCTTTTGAACATTGGTTTCTTTCCTTGACGACGCGATTGCCTCTTTTCTTGGCCTGGCCATTCATGCCATTCTCCTTTCTCATTACCCTGGCCTTTTCAGCTTGATTTTAGACTACAATTTTATGTATCGCACATTCTTATATTAATTTACCATTTCTTATTCTACTTGCAGAGCATTCTTATTCTATATCTACCTGTTTGAGCATTGCTGGAAGTCTTCTGGTGCTATCTTGCATTCCTTTTCAACAGACTGAGATTGATCTCATGAACTGTATTTGCAATGTTTGCTGTTTATCCCGTGTCAGCGTTTGTCTAGCCCGGTGGCGTTCAATGTCGTTTTCCTAGCGGGAGCTTGCACGTGGCAGTGCAAGATTATGTCTATGGCTCGGGAAGCAAGCTGTCATTGTATTGTCTGCGAGTCTGCGACCTTTGAAGGTCCTGTTGACTTCATATCCCCAGCACTAACTGACAGTCCGGTGTGGCACAGACTCGCGAACTCTGGTGGTCGACCCTCCGCACGGCTGTATGACATCATCTGGACTGGATGTGGCACTTCAGTGGCATTATGTTAGCACGTGTGACATGCAGTAAGACACCTGCCGCCAGACAAGTTTCCTGATAATTTCCTATCGATTACACAGGTTTTCCGGAGACTTACGAAATGCAATGAGCAGTCGAGTTCTGCATCAAGCTTTGCTGAACGCCGTTTATGTGTGCAAAAGAAGGAAATTCCTCCATGTGGGATGCACTAGCAATACCTGAGATCGATCCGATAGTGCTTCGGCATGGGATCAGAACGGTTGACGTCCAAATTCTTCTTTACAAAATTTATCTGCTTGCGGCGTGGTTTTCTCCATCTGGCTCCTTTACCCAAGTCTAAACCTTGAAGTCTCATGTGCCTGCACCGCCTTGGCAAAGTTTTAAAAATAATATTGCTGCCACTTTAAGTGCCAGATAAAGTTAGTTTCAGAGATGTATGTATACGCACACAGGCATTGCAGCTCGTAACTCACGCTGTCAATGCTCCAGTATTGCATGTAAGAACAGTGTTGTGTCTGGCGGTGATCTCCTTCCACAGTAGGTCAATGAGTTTGTGCTTCAAGCCTGCTTCTTATGAAGTAGCTAACTAGTTATCAACTTATGTAACCAGTCACAGACTCGGTCTTCGCTTGTTCTTCAAGCTGTTATGTATACTGCACTGGTGACGTGTTGCGACACCATGCATATGTCGGCATGGCGCGAGTGTTGTGTTTGTTCAGTGTTCTCTTCGACTGATTGCCAAGACCATGACCAAGACTGCAAGAGTGAATAACCATGTCCATGGACTCTTGCCAAGGCTGCAAAGACTAGTCTCTATTTTACTCCATGTAATATTTAAATTATTATTAATTTTGGTGGCTAAAATATTGTGTGAATAACGACGTGTAAGGTGACTTTCAGATACCCCTGGCCCTGCTGCAAATCATGACTAAAATCTGATCCGTTATTTCACTCAGCGGTCATTGCTTTGTCTCGCCTAGCGCCTGTCGGGCAAAGACTAAGTGCTCGTTTGTGTCGTTCCTGTAATTCTTCACCATTCTTCATTGAAAGTAACGTTACGGCATCGACAAACAAGGTTCTTTTTACTGTCCATACAAGTGTCTTGCAGCTTGCGCAAAGCGATGATGCGGTCCGAGTTCGCGACACATAGTAGATCTACAGGGTAATTATGCAGTTTGACGGCGTCAATGCATCCGAAACTTCGATCATCCATATTCAGTCAGAGCGCTCGCCATGCATGATGGCATCCTAGCAGTCAGAGCGCGCCGCGATGTACCATGGCCGCGGGCTTAGTTTTGGGATTTGGGACTATTGAGTATTGTAGGCGAATGCCATGCATCCTAGCTCGACGATTCCAGTCTTTCTCACATGTCACTGCATACGTCGGGTCGATTCGGATTGTCGAAGGACGAGAAAGACCGGCCGGGCGCCTTTCTGGTCGCACTCCCCAGGCGCTAGGGCAGCTCCATGGCGACGGCACGCCGAACGCACGTCGTTCCTCCGAATCCAGACGGACCAGAGCTCGAGACTGTCTAGTACATGTATACACTAGTACTAGTAGTAGTAGTACATGTACACTACACTAGTGCTGTAGTGCAGAGTGTGGATTATTATTTTTTGCTTCAGCGCTGCATAGCAGCTCCGGCCCCAGCCTCCAGGCGTTTCTGATCTGTCAAATATGTCAGTGAATGAGAAGAAAGAACTCGAACTAGCCGGAGTAGATCTTGTCAAGCAGTAACTCACTAACTGTTGTCTGTCGCTTTGTGTGAACGCGACTCCGTTGCCATTGGCATTGGAGGCGCGACGCGTGGCATCCCTGGCCCTGGCTAGCTACCTCAAAGTGCCTAGCAACCCCGCGCTTGGCCCGACGCGATAGAGCAGCAGCTCAGTTCACCTGATGCCTACGAACACGACCACGCTGTCGCTGAGAGACACGGCTCTAGCCTAGCCTATGAAGTATGATCTAGGCGCTAGGCTAGCTCTGGGCAGTTTTATCCTGTCAATACAGACTCAGTGTCAGTGAGCTTTTTCGAAGGGCATGACTCCGATCCGGCAGTTAGCCTAGCCTAGCTCTGCTGTAGCCTTGGCTGCAGTCAGGTATGCCGATGCGTTGAGCATTCACACGGGTGCAGGTCAGCTCTTGTTCAAGTCCAGGCAGAGTGAAGAGGAGGACGGGCGGTCGGTAGCGTTCGGCTGTGCTGCAGTTTACTAGTATTCGAAGTCGGCGTTGCGGCTCCAGACGCGCTGAGACAACAATGAGAAATAGGACACCGACAGAAACAACTACAGGCAAAGCCATCGCCTCATAAGCCATTCGTTGTGTTGTTTCATCTCCGCTGCTGTTATTGCGGCCCATTGTAAAGATTTCTCCAATTTCAACTGTAGCTCGGCTCCTTATTACTCGGCGATGCCGGGATTCGATTCTGCAGTCGTCGCCAAGCCTTGTTAGAAGAACAATTATTCAGTATTCTCCGGCCGTCAGTCACGGATTTGTAACAGTGCTTGTCGTGTTGATATCCGCGAAACAACCACTGCAAGTCGGTTGAAGCGTTGAGGGAGTTCGGTGGCGTTGGAGCCGGTGTAACAGTGTAGCCGTGTTGTGTGTGTGTGTGAACGCCGCGTCAGCACAAGGAGAGAGAGTTCTGTCTGTTGCGGACCGCTGCACCGTTTGTAACTGTGTCCCGTGTGCTGTCCGCGGTGTTGTCACCTAGTCCCTGGCCTTGGAAGCGGCGGTCTGGCAATCTATCCAATCTCTCCTATCCTGCATCGTAGCGAGGTGTTAGCCAGAGACCGAACTGAGCCATGGCCACAGCACGGCAGCAGAACGGCGATGGTGACTCCAGAAACACTGGTGTGAACTTGCCTCCGATCCGAACCCAGGGCCAAACAACCGCTGCCAATCCCGCTGCTGCGGCCACCGCTTCCGGGGATGATTCTCGTACCAGGAGAATGGCTGCTGGGAGGTCAGCTGATCAGAGGACCTCCCTGCCGAGGTTACATTCAGCGAGGGTGCAGCAAATCTACGAAGGTATACAGATGGTACCGGAAGGGCTGGACTACAAGCCGGTGCAGCACGAGCCACACCGAAACGGGCACACCACGGGTGCCGGTGCTACGGGTGCCGGTGGTGGCATGTCGTCGGCGGACGGTCGTACCCGTGTCGGTGTGGCCGGCACTGGACTAGGGCAGGCAGCGCTATATCGCGCTGGCGTCGAGTCGGCCAATCACTCGCGTCGCGGCTCAGGCCACAGCACACGCGGCACTGGCATCTCGGCCACCCAGGCCATAACGCAGTTCCCGACCAAACTATCCAAACTGGAGATGACGGAAATCTTCGATTTCGATCCCGTCTATTACGTGGGCCAGGCTATGGCTGGAGGCAAAAAGAACGAACGCTCCGGGCCACACAGCAAGGGATATGACACGGAAGATGGGTCATACGTAGCTATTACACATGACCACATCGCCTTCCGCTTTGAGATCCTCAAAGTACTAGGCAAAGGAAGCTTTGGACAAGTACTGAAGGTCAGTTCATATTTATACACTATACATTGTACGCATGACTGTACACTGCACATTGTACGTGTGTACATGTAGGTCTCCCTGCACTCATTGCTCAACCTGTGACCAGTGCATGTATGAGTACTGCTTGTCTGTAGCCTGTAGTGGCCTTTTCGGCATAGCAGTCATACTGCTCCTTGTTCACGCTCTGTGTTGCTAGCTGACGATGTGTGCGAATTCGAGAATGAGCCCAGCCCCAGGCAGCACACTGCACGTAGTCTACCCAGCGCTGCACAAGACTATGGGGCAATCCTGTACGCGCTCATTGTCTTCTTTGTGTTTCCCCCGTGCATGTCTCAGCCGGGTGCTGTGCTTGGTAGAGGACAAGTACGGGCATCCCCCAGACCCCTGACTCCCTGTGTTGCTCTGCGTCTTGTTGTGTGTGTGCTTGCACAGGTATACGACCATAAGGAGCGTCAGCACGTGGCCCTGAAGATGGTGAGGAACGAGAAGCGATTTCACCGCCAGGCGCAGGAAGAAGTGCGTATCCTGCAGCTGCTGGGCAAGCAGGACGCCAACGGCCAGCACAACATCGTGCACACGTACGAGAACTTCACGTTCCGCAACCATGTCTGCATCACGTTTGAGCTGCTCAACATGAACCTTTACGAGCTGATCAAGAAGAACAAATACCAGGGTTTCAATCTGCAGCTTGTCCGCAAGTTTGCGCACTCACTGCTTCAGTGCCTGGAGCTGTGTTATCGCAATCGCATCATCCACTGCGATCTCAAGCCGGAGAACATCTTGCTGAGACAAGCGGGCCGTAGTGGCATCAAGGTAACTATGAACTTTCAATAGCATGCCATAGTGCCCCCCCCCCCCCAACAACCACCACACGCACACATACACCAGGATCACCACCCCCACCACTACCGTACCTGCATCATGACTAGGCTATGTGTATGTGTAGTGTACCTGGCAGGTGTAACGCGGTGCACTCCTGCAAATACATGCACTGGAGACCATTTGCACTTGTCAACGAAACGAGGACGAGACGAATCCCAACCAGAGCCACCGATATATGAACAGGCATCCATGCATTGAACAGACAGCCATTGGTAGGAATGAGATTTTCTGCAGAGGTCTTTAAAAACACAAGAAAAGAAGAGGAGAGTGGACAGTCGAAAATACTCCACTTCTTTTAAATAATTGTATTGTTCAAACCCATCACAGCTTCACAACACTCCAAACAGTCTCAGGGCTATACCCTGTATGGACCAGTAAAGTGGATGGCTACAGTGGAGTGTTCGCTTATTGAGAAATGCATTCCGTCACAGACTGATAAAACACTTTGGAATAAGTGCACATACAGAAAAAACCCTGCAGCTAACGACCACCCCTTGGGGCCAGAGAAAGCGGTCTTTAGTGGCAGGTGGTCCTTAGTTAGAGGTTTGCACCACACAACCGTATATGAATGTGAGACCGTACGCGCCTGGCAAAGTAGTCTGTAGTACCAGGCTAGTCGCTAGTCACGGTGGTCTTTAGTTGCAGGTTTTACTGTAGTACCAGGCTAGTCGCTAGTCACGGTGGTCTTTAGTTACAGGTTTTACTGTAGTACCAGGCTAGTCGCTAGTCACGGTGGTCTTTAGTTGCAGGTTTTACTGTAGTACCAGGCTAGTCGCTAGTCACGGTGGTCTTTAGTTACAGGTTTTACTGTAGTACCAGGCTAGTCGCTAGTCACGGTGGTTTTTAGTTACAGGTTTTACTGTAGTACCAGGCTAGTCGCTAGTCACGGTGGTCTTTAGTTGCAGGTTTACTGTAGCTGGTCTTGCATTCTCTGGAAAGCGTTGCTTCACCTGCATGCAGGAGATCGCCCTACTGATAACTAAACAATATGATAATGTATGAGTACTTGCATATGCCGGGAAAGTCCCTTGCCTGGCGATGATGCACGATCAGCCAAGCAGCGCTAACGTTACTCGCTCTGCTTCTAAACTGTCCACAGGTAATTGACTTTGGCTCTAGCTGCTTGGAAAGCCAGCGCATCTATTCCTACATCCAGTCGCGCTTCTACCGCGCGCCAGAGGTGATACTTGGTGGGAAGTACGGCATGCCGATTGACATGTGGTCGTTTGGCTGCATCCTGGCCGAGTTGCTGACTGGAATGCCCCTGTTGCCTGGCGAGGACGAGGCCGATCAGTTTGCGCTGACGTGCGAGCTGTTCGGCATGCCCCCGCCACGGGTCCTGGACCAGGCGAAGCGCGCACGGACCTTCGTGTCGTCGCGTGGCTACCCACGCTACGCCGAGGTGTCGGAGTCAGCAGACGGTACAATCACCATCAACGGCGGCCGCTCCAAGAAGGGCAAGTCGCGCGGACCGCCCGGCAGCAAGGAGATCTCGCGTGCACTCAAGTGCGACGACCCTCTCTTCCTGGACTTCATCAAGCAGTGCATGCGCTGGGACCCCAGCCTGCGCCTCACACCGCTAGCGGCCATGAAGCACCCGTGGCTGCGGCGGCGTTTACCGAAGGTTCCCGACGGTGCGGAGACGGCGCCGAGCGGCGCCAACGCTGTCGCTCTTGAACGTGCCGCGGCAAGGTCCGCTGCTCAGCGTCACCATCAAGTTCAGCAGCAGCAGCGGATTTCGCATGCCCCGCCAGACACACTGCACGAAGACACAACTACAGGCGGACAATTGGCGCACAAGTCCAGACAGCAGCCGGGTGCAGCTACAACACACACTACCAGCCGCAGCAAGCTACCAACGTTAACAAAGCCGCGACGCAAGGCTGACCCAAGTGACAGAGACCCAAGCAGGACAACCTTCCCGAAGCTCTAGTGGAGTTATCCGAGCGAACAACCGTATCGAAATATCATTTGGAATGGAAAGCTCACCGGGATGCAGGGGTAGTATCAGCGGTACTGGCAGCAGAAGTAGCTGCAGCAGCTTGTGCAGGTAGTGCTGGGTGGATCCAGCAAGCCATTGTTTGGAATTTTATGGTTGTTATAGGCTGGTTCGTGCCTGGACAGTTCTCTTGTCCTCCTTTTCATGCATGACGCTTGGGCGCTCGCACTAACATTTACTAAATGGATCGTTGACTAAAGTAAACAAGCATACCATTTACAGAGTGACCCTTGGGTTTTCTCCCTCCCCCCCCCCCCCCTCACTCTATTTCTCTCTCTCTCTCTCTCTCTCTCTCTCTCTCTCTCTCTCTCTCTCTCTCTCTCTCTCTCTCTCTCTCTCTCTCTCTCTCTCTCTCTCTCTCTCTCTCTCTCTCTCTCTCTCTCTCTCTCTCTCTCTCTCTCTCTCTCTCTCTCTCTCTCTCTCTCTCTCTCTCTCTCTCTCTCTCTCTCATCTCACTATATTAGTCTGGACATCTGCACAACGCGGTGCCATTTTTTTCTAGCAGATGTTATTGCCATTGTAAGTCGTCGACAAAGCACAGAGCATTGCTGTTATTCAATATTCAAAATCGATGAGCAACTCTGCCTGCTACCTCTAAACAGATAGTGCTTCCAACTTGTTGCCTCTGAAACATTGCTTGAGACTAAGTATGTTTACGTTCTTGTGTACTCTCCACGCTCTGCCCACAATGTGTGGCTAATGCGATTCCAGCTAGAGCGAAATCGATTCTATTTGTCCAGCAGTCTTGAGACTTTGCCATGAGTGGCTATTTTGAACCTAATTTTAAAATGTTTTTGAAGAACCTGCTGACATTACGTATGCCATTGCTTTATGTATCTTTCAAAGTCTTCATTTATAAGCGTCTTTTGCCCCTATTTTCGTAAAATAAACAACACCCAAACTGTCGATCTGGATGTGCGTGTGAAGGACTGACAGTGCTAAGACTAAGTGCTTTGCACATTCTGCTTCCATTCGAATGTGCCTCCTGCATCGTACACTCTCTGAAAACAATCTGTGCAGCAGGAGAACTTGACCCTCTCCGTTCTCAAGGTATATTGATTACCGCCGATTGAAGATATTTCACACCTTCACATAATTTGAGTAAAATTAATAAGAAAGTAAACAATAATGGGACCTGCATGTGGTTGCAACTCTCTTCTACCGGCCAGATGGGCAGTGTGCTATACACTGTCCCCGGGGAAAATTGCGGAAAAAAATTGCAAAAAACGCGGGGGAAAACGCGGCATAATATGGCATAATTTGCGGTGAATTTGCGGTAAATATGCGGTGAATAATATTGATGTGCGGCATTTTTCAGTGAGTATGTAGTGAAATCAATCAGTTACAAGTCTCTGGTACCATGGTGTAAGCACTCGTCATATTTGAGTAAAAAGCCGCCACGATGAGACGTTGCTGACCGAACAGTGCACTGTGTGTACGTGTAGTGCAACAAAAAAGTTCAAAAACGCGGGAAAATCGTGGAAAACGCGGTCTTTTAAAAAAATCGCAAAAACGCGGCCGCGGAATCGCAATTTTCCCCGGGGACAGTACACACCATCACTACAACTGCCGGCTACATCCGCCGCGCTTTGCGGAATATCGAACACAATGCCGTTCAGGTTTTTCTGTGGCTTGTAACCAACTTTCGTGTAGAACTGAAGACACAGGCTTCTGGACCCAGATTTAGAGCTCACTTCGGGGCTCGAACGAATAAAGCTAAAACAGGTCTGCCGGTACGAGAGACTGCGGGTTTGAAGACAGGAGTGCAAGGCTTGATGCATGCAAGATCTTTTAAAAAGAAGGCAGTGTATCTACCACGCACTGACCCATTATGGCATCCTCTTGGTATGGCCGTCTGGTCACATGACAGAATCTTCATCGGCTTGAAGTGGAGCACAGTTTTTTAAAAGTGATTGAGATCAGTATGGTGATGCTTCAAGTCATTGGAAAAAGCAACGAGGCTGACAGCTTGGACTGTGCTCATGCTAAAATAATGGTGTACCACGTGCAAATAGGATGATGGTGGACTCTACAGAAGAAAATAGCGCTAAAACTGGTGAAACAAGCAGAAACTAATTATTCTATTTTAAAAGAAAATGCAGGTAGAATAATGTATGGGCTGTACTTGAAAGTAATCAAAGTAGTTTTTTGAAGTTTGTTGTAGAAATCTGTCCGAACATACATGACTAGCTGGCTGCTGGTGTGAGGAAAACGGCAAGCCAAAAGCAGGGGTGTAGTGGTTTCTCTTTTCAAATCAAGAAGGCTCATCAAACGAATGCACTGCGATGCACTGCGGGCCTGGAAACTCAAACGCACAAAATTGAAACGCAACCGCACGAAAGAGTGACTTATGACTCGCTCGGCACTGAGCAGCTGATTCTCACGTGTACCAGATAGCTACACTACATCTACAGGCAAGGCTTCAAACACAACATGAAAGTGGAAAGGGTAAAGAGTAGAATACAGTGATACGAAACATGCGCCTTGCTCTGCGTCTAACCGGTAAACAAGCCGATACTAATGCCTTCAGCATGCTATGAAGTGTTTTATCTAGTCCCTACATATACCTTGCATACGGTGGTTAGTCACAGCCCACTCTGACGATAAGAAGTGAGAGAAACATGCAGAACAAAGGCTCAAGCAAAACACTCAAGTGCGGTGCTGGCAGCGTATTCCCCCTTGCAGGACAAAACCCACTTGACAACACGCAGCAGGCGGACAGTGATCATGATGCGAAGCGGCAACAACTTATCCCCTTGTGGCAGATGCCACGGCACATCTCCGCCGTCTTCATCAGCTGGTCTTCTCCGTGCGGTATGCGCTCACAATAGTAGAACCTAGAGGAAGAGTGGTGACAGAAAGAATACACAAACACTCTAGGTTAAGAATGCAAAAGACTGAGCTAAGTTACGGGCACTTCGGTCTACCGGGCACCCTTTGCATGAGTTTCAGTGGAAATATTACTACTCTGTTGGCACTTTTGTGGAAATATTACTACTCTGTTGGCACTTTTGTGGAAATAGTGACGTCATACGCCATATCTATGGCCTTTCCCCATCAACATGCATGTGCTTCGGAGATACGGACATTTCAAAGTTACGGGGAGTGCCCGGCCACGGACCGCCCGGATAAACAAGGTATGGGTGTACATGTATTGGTTGTGACTACATCACTTGTTTGGCTTGTCTCTAAGTGCAGTGCGGCCATCTCAAAAAAGCGATCTCACCTTTCCGGATTCAGAGAGTGGCACAGTGCAACCAGCCTCTTCACTGCCACATCGGTGATCCTCGACAGGCCGGATAAGTCGAGGTGGATCAACTCTGGATACGGTCCAGCACTGATCAAATGCCTGCATGAACATGTGAATCATACACGCCCACACGCACAATAACATCAATAAACTGTGTTGGCAGGAGCATGACTTCAAAGAAATTGCGTTTGACTGCGTTTAATACCGTACACATACTGACATAGAAGCATACAATGGTTTCTACAGCACAGCCAGCACTCTCCTCATGACGCAACCAAACACACCAGGACATACAACAGCATTACCAAAGGGGGAAAACAAGGAGCATGGAATAATCCTAAAATGTGCGCAAGCTACTGGTAATGGCTCCTGGCCGAAAATTTGATTGAGATACTAGAAATTTTCAGCAAAGAGACCACTTGCTTTGGTGATGGTGTAGGGCTTTCCGTGCAATTTGCGCAAACCACCCGGTATCATGGTCTTATCTGCTAACACGTACCCAAGGCCATTGTCGGTCAGCATGTGACAGCCGGATACATCCAGGTAGCGCAGTCGCGGTCCGCTCCGCAGATCTCTCCTGGATCCAGAGAGAGGACTACCGCTCTCCGGCGACAGAGTTCTGCTTGCCGAGCCACACGACTGCAGGAGACACTCGCACGAACGGCTGGCCGGGTCGGACGGCATGCGACGCAGTGCTCCATAGCCCGGGTTCAACGACATGATCAGTTTCTGCACGGCCACATCAGAGATGTTGGGACACGCCGAGGCGCTGAGTCGGGTGAGCCGTCGATGGAGGCGACTGCAAAAATAAAAGAAGCAAACAGAGCACTGCTTTCCTTGTAATCCACCAATGGAACTTCTCACGATACCAGTATTACACGTGCACCTCCTTTTCTTTGGTCTAGTAACAATTTAGACCCTGGATGATGCAACTCAATCTTACCCGGTTTGAACTGTTTGCACAGGGGCTGTATAGAGCGAGTACACGTGCATGTAACTGTAGTTGCAAGCCCAGTGTGTACAGTGTTTCACGGCTAGCATCAGGGAAAAGCAGAGGAAAGTCAAATTACCCTCACCTATCCAAACCAAACGTAGACACTTTGGTGTAAGCGATGCTCAGATGCTCAATGTTGGGACACAAGTAGAGAATCCGCCGAAGCTACACACAGTGAACAGATGAACAGAAGCACACACAAAGGTGAGTACCCGATCAAGACTGACAGAACAGAATAATACTTGCATATTTCGACATGTACAATAGTTTTAACCAGAGACAAAATGACCACATGAAATACAAGTATGTAAGATTAAGACCAAAATGAAGTCATACTATTCTGACACGCTCAATCTCAGATACACTTACCGAATCGTTTGATAGTGAGGTGCTGCCATGCAAGGAGAGAAGTCTAACGTGACGTCCCACCATGGGCAGCAGACGCTGGCAGATCTTCTCCAGGAACAGCCTCTCTTCGTCGGCCGTTTGCTTCACGCTCATGCTGCCACTGTCCCACACCGCTCTAGTGCCCCGCTGTTTGTAGGGCACATCCTCTTCGAACCCATAGTCCCTCAGGCTCTCCTTCTGGTCAGCCATATCACCATCCAGCGGCGTGTTTGTCCCATCGCTGTCATCCTCGTCGTCTTCCTCGTCAGATTGGTCCGCGTGATCGCCACAGGACCGTGGTGTGCTGAAGTACCAGTTACCCAGAAACCACCGGCGCAGGTACAGCGAGCGCCACAGAGACCCATCGAACGCCAGTGTGTGCCAGTAGCGGCACACCGATGACGCCCGCAGCAGTGTTGGCGCGTCGTCGATCAGCTTGAAGATGTAGAGCAGGATCTCGCAGGGCAAGCTGTCCAGGGTCACGGACGACTTGTACACGGCAGCGGCGTCGGCCGCAGCTGCTGGCTGCCGGGGAGGCTGCTGCGGGTCTTGCGGATGAGCTTCGGTCGGCGCCGGCAAGCCTCGACTCCACCATGCTTGCACGGACAGAGGCCCACTTACAACACTCTGCAGCGTGCATCAGTTACACATAACACATTACCAGGTTAGCGTCATGTTGAAGTATATCAATAGGTCGCACTGCCCTGGGCAGCCTACACATAACTGATCTCTCAGAATGTTGCCGTGACTCCCCTCTCCAGCACACAGTGACACACAGACACACAGACACATATACATATTACATGTGTGTCCATGCTGTCTGTACTTGATTAAATGGTTCAGGTCCTATGTTTAGATTGTAGAATCAACTAGATGTGCTAGCATATGTAGAAAAGAGTACGCTAAGGGAAGAAAAAGAGAGGAATGGGTTTACGCTACGCACATTGGAACAACTTTTGGCATGAAAACTCACCGAAGTTGCCCGGACATTGCTGGCATGAAGCTGGATGACTTTATCACGCAAATGGATCAGCTCCAGGGCCGTGAAATGTCGCATGAGAAGAGGCTGGAAAACCTGATTTAAGATGACAGCAAAACATACATACATACACACATCTACAAATATCTGTACAGTCGCCCCTCTCTAATCCGGCACTTGTTTATCCAGCACACTTTCTGGCAAAACAGATTTTTTCAGTTCATTTTCTACGCTTTAATCCGGCACTGGAATGCCACCTCCAGCAGCGATTTTCTGCAACAAATCACTCAAACTGTACATAATTTGATTTTCTAATCCAGCAGTTGTACATCGCATACCATCAGGGAGCATTGTAACATACACAACACATGTAACATACACTTGGGAATATCCTATGCTAGTGCATAGGATATTCCCAAGTGTATGTTTAAGACATGCATTCCACAAAGTACTTGGATTGACACAGAAAATCCCTACATTTCGACATACAACACCAACATGATTGTATGTTTAACAGGTGGGCCGGGTTGGAGGGCAGGATTTGATAATCCAGCACCCTTGTTTATCCAGCAGAAAATGCCGTTGCAAAAGGTGCCGGATTAGAGAGGGACGACTGTATTCCAAGCACTTCTATATCCCCCACCAATGCGCCCCAATCAGATGCCATGTACAACATGCGTGATTCCGAGTTATGGACATTTCGAATTTATGGGCAGTGCCTGGTCCCGAACCACCCGGATACGAGAGATATGCGTGTAATTTGACAGTCACTTCAGGTGTGAGTAGCTTTGGAAGTACTCATTCCGTGGACACTACTGCGCAGTCTTGTGCGGGCACATGCAAGCCATGCAACCCTGCAAACACTACTGCTTTCTTTGTGTAGTCCTGTGTAGGTAGACACATGCAAGCCATGCACTCTGCAGACAACCTTGCAGACAACCCTGCATGCCTGGATTAGAAAAAAGACACATAAATTTACCTGCTCCTCTTCTGCCATGTGCGGCACAAAGTCCACAGTGAACTCATCCAGGACCTCGCAGAGTCGCTGGCCCTGGCGTAGGCGCACCACACGATTGCACGTAGCCCGGCCAGTCACATCCTGCACATTGGAGATGACGTGGATGACGGATGTCAACCGGTCGTCTCCGTGCAGGTCTTTCTCCAGGGAGATGGGCGCGTCTTGCTCGTGCTGCTCGGGTGTATGAGTAGCCAGCGCTAGTGACGACGCCTCCGGTGCGGTCGCTGCTCCCACCAGGCTCCGCTGCTGCGCACCCTGTGTCATGCGAGACTTCAGCTCGTCCACTATGTACGTGTCCTCGATCTCTTCGTGCTTCTTGAACTCGCTGAAGATGTACTGGAGCTCGAATAGCAACGTGGCCACGCTGTCGCGATGCCGGAAGTCCGTGTTGGAAAGCTACAATGCAACAGCGCAACACATACACACACACGCACGCACAGAGAGCGGTGGTGGAAAGTTCATTTATCTTCTAAACACATGAACAGTGGTTCAGTTGCACAATTGCATGATATGTCGTGAAAGTAATGGCGCCTAACACGGCTGGATGGTCTCGATAGGACCACTTCCGGGTCAGCCATTCTCCAGTAGCCTCGTACGGTATATGGTGGGCGAATAATGACCGTCTTCTCACATTCTGCTGCACACTCTCAGTGTGACTTTTCCAGCAACTAACTGAGCCCCCATCCCCGGGTCCAGTCCACTCTCTACTGGTGGATGTGTCACCCTACCGTAAAGGAAACCACTCCACACATGTACCGAGAGACACTTGTACAGACACAATGTCAGGTACTACAGATTCATACAGCACTCCGTAAGGCTACCAGACTGCATTGGACATTTCCCCCTGATGACTGCACACAGTGCATGAAACTCAGAGTAGCAAAACACTACGAGTGATGCATCGTTTATTGACATGATTACACATAATTATAATTCTATACATGCAAGTTAATCCAGAAGTCAGCATTGCCGTGGTCCCGGTAGGCTGTCTGCGAACTAGCACTTTCAAGCCCTATTGTGCAGGATTAGAGGATTTGAGGACATTTTCATTTTTCACTGACCACCGTGCTTTTCTGAACCAGCCGTAACTGGAAAATGATGTAACCAGCTCGACCACGCTATTCTCCGCCTTTCCATGTACATAAATTGCCCAAAGGATTGCACAGAAGAATAACATGAGAATAATATTATGCTATCGCCAGGTAATAACGCTTTTCCCACAGGAGACCAGCTTCAGAAAGTCTTGGTCAGCTTTCGTCCAAAAAGGAATAGATAGAAAAAGGGTACCAAACAACCACATTCTCCGTTAGGTATGACCTATCACTAAGTACACGTATGTCTACGATCATATCGCACTGAATGACGAATAGATTTTTTAGAATTATTGGGAATGCCACGGAGGGTGTCATTCGTGCCAGCAGCTAGCTTACTCTGACTTTCATACGGTCCAGCAGCGTTCTCATGCGAGCATGTGGCCCATTGAACACATCCACCTCCTCCCCGCTCGCCTTCATCGTCGTAGATTATTTGCTCACGAGACTCGACAGCAGCACTAGGCGCTATGAGTATGACCGCCACCCAAATGTACTCGACCAACTGCAATTACTTTTCTCTTCGCATACGCAAGTCCGCAGGATTGTTCTTTATTTTAACCCCTTCCGCTCATTGCTGCTAAAAGTAGAAGTTAGCAGCTAAAACAATGATCAGGACACAAAAGAGAAGCTGTGATTAGGGGGTTGATACACATGCATCAAGCTTCAAGGAAATAATTATTTTCCTTCCTGAATCCTGTTTTATGTAAAGTTTCAAAAAAGTGTGCACACGATAATCGCCTCACTATCGATCACATGTCCAACAAGCACTAGTCTATGAGTATGACTCACAGACTCAGTACAGTTGAGTCATAACTTGACTCATAATCATTGACCAACCATGGCATGAGTCGAGTCTTCATGCATGATGCGCTCAGCCACACTGGCACAAGTCAGTGTACTGCTGACTAGTAGTAGTAGTAATAGTTGTACTGTAGATCTACTAGTAGTAGTAGTACTAGTACTTATGGTTGTTATTATTATGGTGGTAAAGACACACCTGGCAGTATGGCGGTAAACACACGCCTGCCAACACACGCTCTCTAGTTTAGGCTGCAAAGTTCTGGCACAGAGCTCTCCTTCTCACCACCACCACCGGTGCACCATCAGTTCGCGCCTGGCGCCTGGTCGATGCATGGCTGGCGGTATGGCACATAGATGATGACACAGCAACGAGTAAGTATTTACAGTCACCGGAATCAGTCACCGGTGCCACCGGAATCACGGAGTACAGTATTAAAGTCAGTAGTCTAACCGTTGCATCATCATGATCATTGCATTGTCAACAAAAAAACGCATCAATGCAATGATGAAGAAAGCCTCTTCAGTTAGGCTGGCAAAGCAGAGCACAACAATCATCACAATGTACCAACCCCCAATGAACAGTTAACCCACCTAACGCAAATGAAAAAATATGATTGTAAAGAATTCAATACCGAATTTGGTACTATTTACCCATAGGCTATTCTCAATGTAAGAAGTACTAAGAACTGAACAGATCATCCTGTATCAGATGGAACTCCGCAAACAGATCCACATGCAAAGACCACTCCGGCGGTCTTGGGCATGCTTAGAAGCGGTTCTCTGTGATGGCTAACTCTCTCGGCGCATCATTGCTGCCCTGAGCAAAGAAAAGGACAAGCGACACCGGACGTAGGCCATTAGCTAAGCATATGGTCGGTCGGCAGTTGCCCGGCACTAGTCCACACACTCTCTTTATGAATCGGTAACACTCCGAGGCACAACAACCTGCCGCCGTGGTGAAGACTAAAGGGTGAATGTACCTCAGTCGACATTGTCTATGCGCGGCTTGGCGTATTCGCTCTTCTTGCGGTGATCATGTTGCTGGAGAAGATCATTTACTAGTATGGGGTTGTTCTTGTACGAAGCCGCATCCGGGTGGAAGACCCGGACGTCAAAGAACACATTCTAAGCCGTGGTCCAAAACCGGCGAGTTCGGACCTCAGCAAGGGTGTCGTTCGCTGTGTTTGTCGTGACCGCTGGAAATACTTCAAGGTCGCCTATGATGGGAGCAAGCATAGCTTCTCCAGCCGCCGAGTCAGGGCAGGGAACTCACTGTTCTTTATCAAGGTGAAATCATTCTCCTCCCTCTGTCGACGGCCATGTGCCAGTCGTGTTTTCTTGCTCAGAGCTGCATGGCGAATATCCTCAGTGGAGATCATCGTTCTGGTGTAATCTCCTCCACCTGACGGGCTGTTACAGTTCTCGAAGCAGGGAGCTCTACTGCACCCATATGCTGAAAGCATGGCAGGGTGGCCATTCCCCCCAGCCGACAGGGCAGGCGGAGAAGGATCAATTCTTCTGATAGAAATGAATCACGGCCCGCTTGGGCAGGCAGAAGCTCTTCCGTGATCACGTCGCCCAGACGGTCGGAAAGGCATTGTGCAGGGAAAGGTACTGTACGCAATAGGTAGCTCCACCTAGCACGTGAACCATGAGATAATGCAGAATGTGCAGCACGTGGCTGCAGTTTTGCAATCTTGGTAAGCTTCTTCAGCTCTTCTTTCCACTTCGCCACCCGTCGCTGCACACTTTCCGCGACAGCCTCTTCCGATCCAATCTCCGAGCCGAGATATCCCAAGCTCCCGTCACAATCCGGATCCCTGTGTCAGCAAACACCTGACGTGATTCCTGCTCCAGCTCTGGCTTGACAAGGAGTTGGGTCTTCTCGGAGTTAGTGAACATTTTCATCTGTATCGCTGTCCTGCGGCTCGGCCCACCCGTGACCACTGGATCTGTCGCAGCCTACCTGCTCCGCTGGAGTCATCAGCACACCCGCTCTGCGGGATCGATGTATGCCGTTCCTGGAGAGGAGTGATGATGAGTATGGTGGCAACTGCGTAAAGGCCATGGAGAGGGTCTCTCATCAGAGGACAAACAGCTCAACGAAAATTGGGTTTAAAATCTGAATAATGCTACATTTAGACTCGGGTGGAGAGCCAAGGACTAATTTATAAGAAGAAAAGAGGACCAAAAAGTGGTGTTAGTGGACATGATAGCGTAACTTTTAGCTCTTTTGGTCCTCTTTTCTTCTTATAAATGCTACATTTATTTTACAAAGATGTTCCCTTTAAATTTAGCCAGCGGAGAGGGCTCAACACAATAATTTTTTTCACGGTTCGCGTCAGACTCGGCTAGAGCCAGTAGAGGCCGAGTTTTCCGCGTCCGTAGGAACGCCACCACCCTTCAACTTAGTTCAAGGATCAAACACAACAATACTGTCAATAGTGGAGCACTATTACACATAAAAGGCACAAACTGAAAGGAGGTTTGTAGAGTTTGTCGCAACTCCGAGTTTCGTGCTCAATGCAATCATCAGATGACTTGTGACACGTTCAACGGGACTTGGCCAGTATTCATAACCCCATAATTATTATTTTGGTGATGGTTGGTAGGCATTGATTCGGCGCAGAAAAACATGTATTTTATACAGAAGATCTACTACTTGTACTTGTAGAATCTAAGAGTTTTTATTCTACCGATTGGCAAATCGCACAAGGGCCATAGAAACATGATCAAGGAAGAAATAAAACCAACAGAGAAAAATACTGGTAAGGAGCAAAACATGCATGTACATGCAGATAAGGCAGTGCCCGCTGCCGATGTCCTCGCAAATATTAATTAGCGAGATGGCAGACTGCAGTAGTAGCGGTACATAAGTCAGCCGGCATCGCACAAATCTTACCTACATGCTGCACGGTTCCGCTTATCCGCCAGTAGTCTACCGAAGCTATACCGTACTACTAATACGGCAGCAGACAACACCAGCTGCCTTTCCAAAGCCTCCAGAAGATGATAGTACTACCACTGGCGTGAAAGAGCCCTGCTCAACCTCACGGTTGCGCTCCTCGTACATGTATCGTCCCCGCTTCCCCTGCTCATGTCTGCGGGATGTTGCCTGAAGAGTGAACGGATTGTTTGGCGTGTGTGTGTGGGAGGGGGGGGGGGAGCAAAAGGATTGAAAATGCGAATGTGGAAGTACATGTAGGTGCGCTCAAACCTTCCCCCCCCCCCCACAAACCACTTGCGGCCCCTCCAGGCGGGCGGGATCTGCAGTGACAGCTGACCGGTGGGTGAACCTTTCACCAGATACTATCATGGGGCCTACTACACTCTAGGCAAGATTTTAAACGACCACATCATCGGCCACCTCCTTCAGCAATCCCGCTGTGAGGTCCATCACCGCATTATCCATGTACCTCATATGAGGGTACCAGTGGTGCATGATAGAGCGTGGGTAACAGAGAATGACTTACCACATACACAACTGGATGGTACAATGACTATGTACTTGGATGGTGCCCAGCCATACCGTACGCAAAGGCCATCCCTAAAATGAATGCGCTCTTGGTCAAGCTTGAAGTAAGTTGAAATCATAGCGCTCCAGGGGACGACATGCCAACCAACTTAATACTCCCTTTTCAGAAGAACTACTACTAGTAACTCACGACAAACAAACACAAAAAGGAATGGTGCAAAATGGAGGTGTTATGAAACCCACCAGACATGTATCGCAAGTGCTAAGTCAATCACAACGAGAGAGAAGAGGTACATGACACGATCGTACACAAAATAGTACATAGGTTGTGCTGCAATGATTGTGCAGTGTACTGGAGTGACGTGACGTGAGAAGGCAATATCATTACTTCAAGTATAACAATTTAATAATATGATCATAATAATGCATCATCGATGCGTTTTGTTGCAGGTCGAGGGGAAATAAAGTTGAGTGTCGGAGGCAGAGTTCAGTACAGTGGCGTGGAGACACAGACTCAGTGATCGTAGTGGGACTGGGGAATGGTGCATCGTGGAGACTGGCCATGAAACGACGTCGCCCACATCCAATCCTGCATGGCACATCAGATGCTGGCATAGTTCTGCATTTCCTTCAGGAAGCTCGAGCCGAGGAGGACTTGCCACAATGAGGGTGTAGGGGAACAATTTGGTCAGTTTGGAAGTTTCAACCCCAATCATTCCTGCTCCATTGGAGATCGTTCTTTGAATATTTGACTGTCCATTCCTAACCTTCGCAATCCGCCTACTGAGCCCAAAGCCAAGGCACGGTCGATGCTGGTCTCGTCTCCTCGAGAAGATCCGCGGCCAGAGTCGAAGACAGTCGACCATAGTTGCGTGCTTTGACCCGAGGTTCCTGTGTTCAGGGTGACTGCTCCACGATCTAATCGTCTTGTTGATAGAATCATGTAGAACCGACAGATCACACGATCAGTGATTATGTAGTTGTCGTACGTGCTTGGAATCAAACTACAAGTATATTTTGTACAATGACACATGTAGGGAGTAATCGCGCTAGCGACGGCGGAACATTCGGTTGCAGTTTTATACAGTGTTCCTCGTTTCCACGCCGAAACCAACCGTTCCCATAATGATGGCATAACGCAGTTCGCCAGGACATGGTGTGGAACTGTGGGTCGTCTCATGATCGATTTGAGTCGAGCTGAGAGGCGGGTTGGCACCCGTACCCCTGGCCCATGGCAACTACAACATACATGCACTTACTTACAGCGAATCCCCCCCCCCCCCCCGCCCTGCTCATAACCAGTTTCATGTACAGTGTAGAGAGAGAGAGAGAGAGAGAGAGAGAGAGAGAGAGAGAGAGAGAGAGAGAGAGAGAGAGAGAGAGAGAGAGAGAGAGAGAGAGAGAGAG